AGAGAAGGTGAGTTGTGAGGCAAGATACAGGAGGTGATACCCGTATAACATCGAGAGGCATAACGTCTGGCTGAATAGTAGTTTTAGTGGTTGGGTTGGGTCTTAAAGTTGTCAATTCGATTTGAGTCGTCCCCCGGGTCGTGATATACCCGTGTGACGCCTCGTCTCTGCAGATTAGACATTTTCGCCCTGTTTTCACTCACCGCCTCCTGGGCGAGCGACGACGTGTTTACAGAACCTACTTTGTGGGAACTTGCTTTCGGGTCCCCTACATCGGGTCGTGCCAGCTTACTCGTTCGCGTTTGGGCTTCCACGTCGTCTGGACTGAGCACATTCTGGTTTCGTAACGGGAGGGGTAGGTCACTCTCTCGGCAACGATCATTGTCCGAACGGAAAGGACATCCCAATCGGGTCCTGTGGTTTCTCACCAGTATATACTTGCTTTGAGAAAACTAGACAGGTATATTCGACGATTTCGTGCCTGACCTGATCGTTTAAACCGACGACAAGGTGCTCCCTGGTCGCCGCCTCCTTTACGGAGTTACAGTTACCCCCATGTACTTGGTTGGTGGGAATCCATATTTCGGTCCCAACCCGAAGTCGTTGTTGAAGCAATTTGGGAGCCCTGCTGCTGACTCACGTACTTCGCGTACGGAGTGTCTATCGCGTACTTACAGTGACTGAGCGAAAACCGCCTACGGTCCCTGTCATTGTCGTGACAGAACTCACTGTCCACGAAGTACAGTCGAAGAAGGTCCCCAAGTTTACCCGCGGACTCCTGCGGCTGAGATTTTGGTTACAGTTCAGGGTATTTCCGGCGGGGTCACTGCGACGTGGTTGTCCTCCTCCGACGCTGCGAGTGGAAGTATTTTGCCGTAGGTCCCTACGACCGGCCGGCAGAATGGAGTTTTGGGTGTACCGTACGGTCGTTAGTCGTCGGTCCATCTGGGAAACTAGCACCTTACTTTGCAGACACAAATAGTCTAATCTAGACATCTTTCTATTTATGAGGGTGTCCGTAACTTTTTGCTCCACGACGGGAAAAACCTTCTACTGGTCAGGGAGTTTTGGGAGGTGAATTGTCAGTATTTCGTGTGGGATAGCCTCCTGACAGCGTAGACTATCACAAAAGTGGACAGACGCCCTCTGGGCGCGGGCGGACGTGAAGTCTAATATGGTAAGCGTGCCGGGCATCCCGTACGCGAGGCCACACCCACCCTCTCGGGGCGACTCTGTCATACAGAGACGCATCCCTCGAGCTGCCACAGGGCTCTCTATATCTACGAGCGTCGGGTCCCCACTGTAACTCCGGTCACGCCTCGATCAACTCCTAGTCCAGGGGAGTGAGGAGGCTCACCCCATCGTGGCCGCTCTCCCACCCCTCTGCCATGTCCCCGCTCCGGTTACACGCGCTCGCGCAGTGGGATTACAGCAAAACAGCGATCGACTGTCACTGCTCTCTCCTCTGGCGTCGAGGTTATCTAGTCAAAAACGCGACGGTCGTACCACATTGGACCTCTCTCGCGTTTGGGAACAAGCCTAAATCATATGCTATAACACCAGCATAACAGCAGGAGTGGCTCCTGTACCACGAGGAGACTCTTTTCGTCTTCGCAAAATCCCACTCCTTGTGGCGAAATTTTCGAGGTCCATAAAAAACACGGCTGGCGGACCTCCAGAAGACGGGTCTCTGGGGAGGCCTGGCTGGAAGGGCCAATTATTTGAGGGGGTCGGGACAGTCTTGTACGTCATGCGGACAACCCTGGTGGATGGCACTTTCCTTGTCGTGGTATCCGTCGGGCATTGACTTTTCACCCACGTGCGGTCACCGACGTCACGGTAAAAATGCGTAAAAAGTTGTATTTGGTAGTGAGAGGCGGCGCGGACTGGGCGCGCCCCAAATGCAAAAATCTCGCCGATTGGGGTCGCGACTTTGAGGAGTAACACCAATTTGGCAGGGGTCAGGGCATTGCTGGTCCCTACCCGGAAAACTTGCGTACCTTAGGTCATTTTGCGTCCCGGTACTTTTAGGACCTTTGCTTGTACAACGGCGTCGACCGTTTTTACTCGGCTCCGGTCGGGAAGACTTTCGAAAAGGAGGAAAAAGGCGACTTGTTCGGCCCGGACATTTCCCCGGTGGCTCAAAGCCAAACATTGGGGTCCCTCTCATGTCAGGACCACCGGGGGCCCGTGTTGTTACGGAGAAAAGACACAAATAATACCTTGGGTCCAACTCGTCCACGAATCTCCCGTAAAAACAGGACGCATTATCGGAGGACAAGGCGACACTTTCTTTGCGGCAAAAAGGCAGATCCATCAACGGTCCCTTATGGGACAACAGGAATTGCCCCGAATAGGCGCCCCGAAGGGACAAATGTAGCATGTTTTGTGAGAACCTGACCATTCTCTTTTGTTCTTGCTTTCCCTCTTCATGAGGACAAAAGGCATGTCTAAGGGGAACTTACGCTTGGAAGTCTATAAAGGAATACACCCATTATTATGGGACCTACACCCCTTATTATCGTAGAAAAAGTCCAGCTGACTAACATTTGGTCAGGGCAGAAAAAAAAAGCAGCGTTCTCTTTTGCGTCGGTTCTCTAACACACTCACCTTTCGTAAAGGACCCTTAAACCTAGAAAAAAATCTTAAACAAGGTCTCCGGGAGTTTTAGATCATAGACCCGGGCTTAAGGCAAGAGGGGCAAAACCCTTTTGCTCCTTATGACACTTTATATTGCGGGCGGGAGACGTGAGGACGAAGCCGGCCCATAAATTATCCCTTATATCGGGAGTAGGAAAGGATCTTAGACTCTCTATAGAAAAGAGGTCTTTTATACCCGGACTTGAGAGGAGCCCGGAAACACCTATGTCCCTGCGGCTGCTCGTCCCCCCCACTGTTCGCCTTACCTTCAAGACATTCGGTGGCACAATGCATGGAACTTTTTTGGGCGGTCATGCAACACTTCGGTTAGAGGTTTTGACCAACGAGAATCTCAGGTTCGGGTTCTCTTACAAGTTGCAGAGAATGGGAGAAACTCGAGGAGATAAACAACACAATTACCGAGATTCACCCAGACTTGTCTACCATGGGGGAAAAAGCTGTTAGGGGTGGCTGCTGACCCGCGTACGTGCACTGCACCCACCCGGAAGTGGTGTGGCGGGCGTATTGCGTACGCGCACTTTGGCCATTTCGCCGAAAGATATTGGGGTCAGCAGGGAGCCGTACGAATACCGCCACCGGAAGTCTGGGAGGATAATAGATATGGCGGAAAAACTCTCTCCGGCATCGAACGAAGAGTTTTCTCCCTTGGTGCCGCTGTCCGTGACAAATAACAAAAAAATAACAGGGAAGGAAAAGTAAAAAAAAACCTGACTCGGGGGAGCCGATCTTTTCGGGACCCCTACGCTGTCAGACCCCCTTTTTTACAAAAAAAAGAAAATTTAAACTTTTGTTGTGTGTTAACGACTGTACACCAAAAAAACACTGAACCTCTAATTCGTTCTTGAGCGAGACAGAGCCATAATTCAGACAAAGGGAAAGACCCTTCCGCTTGGTAACTCCCTTACCGCCAAAGACGGCCGTTAGGTTAGCTCCGGCGCCCTTTGTACCCTCCGGAACCACCCCGTTGGGGGGCTTTTGTGTTAGAACCTCGACCCCTTGTCCCTTTGAAGTCGGGAGACAGTGGGCTCCTCTCCCTCCCTTCCCGGACCAAGTCCGGCGGGCGAAGAAAGGAAGGAGCTGTAACCACTGGCTTAGACTCAGCCGACACCCGAAAATTTGTCGTCGGACGGCTTTGGCCCGTCCTTAAAAGGAGGGTCGAGCGGGAGCAGGAAGTACCGAACCGACCCCTGACCCGCCCGACAACCGGAAGGAAAACGGAACGGAGCATGGAACTGGCCCTCCTGGCACTCTGGTTGAACCTCTTTCCCCTGGCGGCCGCCTGGCAAGCGTCCATCGGCCGACCTGGGAAAGGCCCCCCTTCTGTCTCCACCCCTCCGGTAGCAGAAGGAAGGAAAAAGCGAGTGTAGAGGCGGACGTAGCTCTTGATTTCGCCCTTCGGCTTTGTATTGGGAGCCCTTGCTTATCCGTACCAGTTCTTTGAGGAGGGAAAAAAGGGCCAGGGACCAATTCCCAAAAACCAAGTCCAACTGGTGGAACCGGAGAGAAGGGGAACCATGGTGGTAAGTACGGTACCTTGAAAAACGGGCACCGGGGACCGACGTGTCGCGCGTGTGCCCTCCGTTTACAGCACTAGCGACGCTAGAGCAGGATGCCGGCCGGTCCAAAACGGGAAGCTATCCACTTACGTAACCCCAGTTCTCAGAGTAACATGAAGTGAGATGTCTCACCAGACGGCCCTCCTTGCTATGGTGAAGCGAGAAGAGGTGCTTATTTTGAATGATGCATGCGGCGTAGCGCAAGCTACTTATAGGGGTTAGATTCCCTGACGCTGACGTCAAGATCACCAGCCAATCAGGATTGGCGTAATGAGATTGATGCTTCTGTTTGCTCCGCGATGAGGCGCATCCCATAGTGAGACATCTCACTTCATGTTACTCTGAGAACTGGGGTTACGTAAGTAACCTATAGTTTTCATGTACGTTACATGCAACATAGGTTAAAAGACATACTCATGGAGGACTTGTTGAATAATATTCTTATTTCCAATGCATCTTAAAGGGGGCATACCATGAACACTTTGTCAGTGCTAGTTCATTAATTTGGGTATCTGAAGTGAGTACCAACCCACAATCTGTGAAATACGATCACCCAGTAATTTTTTTTATAGGATGCCTACGTCCGAAATCAGGTGATTCAACAAGCTAAATGGATTTGGCTCCCCTAAGTCAACAACTTGATAATTTCCATTGTAAGCCAATCATAGCAGAATGGACTTTTTTGATAGCCTTAAAGAGACCGGTGCTAAACTGAGCGTTTCAGGCAAAAGGTGAATACACGTATATTTAGACTCTGACTATTAAAAAAATTATCTATTTTTTAAACAGTTAAACATACACATGTTTAAGTAGAAACCCGGAATACAATAAAATAACTGAAAATGATCCTTTCAATTTTACATTGTAGGCAGGAAACTATGATTAAAAACAGATTTTTTTGGCTGCGGTCTGTGGGTGTTTAAATCAAACTGCATCTTTAAAGAGAAAAACAGTTAAAGTTATTCATTCAAAAATATTAGTCATAGGGAAAACAAGATCAAATCAATAAGAGGATACACACAAACAGTAGCAGCAATATCTGTGTACTTTTCCTCACACTGTTGGCCACTTGATAAGTCCTCCACGCAGCATTGGAGTGGATGAGTGCCTCGGTTTTGACAGCTGCAGGCGGTGCTTTGACACGGAGCGAGACAACCATCATCAGCCACCCTAAACTCCCTCTCATACAAAACACTTTTAATCAGCCCATGAACTAAACATGGCAGTTTTCCATCAGTTTAGCTCCCTAATCCAAAAACTGCGGCGTGTTGCCAGAAACAAAGCACATTACGCCAGAGCTTGAAAACAGAATATTATGTTTAATGACCTTTGGTATAAACACGTCATCCTATGGTAATATTTCATTTTGACCAGAAACGGGGAAAAAGGGAGTCAGTAGGTGTTATCGTGATTACTGTGTGTAGTCCAGGCAGTTATCAGCATGGAAACTAAACCAGATGTTGTTGTCTTATGTAATCATGTTATGGGGTCCAAAAGTCAGTTAAAGGTAGAATAAAATGGAAACTGTGTTGTGGGCTGAGGATAATTTATGGTGTCAAAGTCCACACACATTCAACAGTGTCAACATGCTTCAATGTGTGTTTTTATTGGTTAATATAGCATAATTTAGAACACTTTTGATTAATGATTGTAGATTTAATAGTACGTATACTACCCACTTACTGTAGCTCTTCAGCTTTTTGTTCATTTACAGTCTCACATCGTGCACTTAATTAGGCTTAATTTATTGATATTTCTATAAAAAAGAAGAAGAATGTCTTTATTAATCCACTTGGAGACATTTTATTTCTTTCAATATCACGTTCTGTTAAGTAATCATATATTTTCATTTGACATGGACCTAACCCCCCAACAAAAACTAAATGATAATAATAATATTCCATGTTACTGTGACATACATCAGTTTTCATAGTTAATTTGAGTAGACAACTAATTTCTCTGATAGCACGTTGATGGTACGGTATGAGTGTGTGTGTGTGTGTGTGTGTGTGTGTGTGTGTGTGTGTGTGTGTGTGTGTGTGTGTGTGTGTGTGTGTGTGTGTGTGTGTGTGTGTGTGTGTGTGTGTGTGTAGTGAGCAGATAATCGTGGTTCCTGACATCACCGGGGGGGCTCTGTGTCCCCGCCTGCCGGACACCTCCTCCTCCTCTTCCTCACGTCCTCCATCACCACCGTCCTCCTCACCTGCGGCCCCGCCCCCACCTGAAGAGGAACCGCCCTCTGAGGTCAAAGGTCACGATGACATCACACTGGGGGGAGAGGCTGAAGAAGAGGAGGAGGAGGGAGACGCCGACCTGCACGATGAAGACGACGATGACGACGATGAAGAGTTGGCGGCGGCGTGTCGTGAGGACGTCCATCAGAAGCGTCTCTCCATGGAGTCGGGTTACAGCGCCTCGGAGAAACACCTGGAGGACGACGTGGTTGCCGTGGAGATGAGGGAGCAACAGCCGGCTCAGCTCGACCAATCAGAGCTCCCCTCAGAGCGCTTGTCCCTCCCCTCCTCACAGACAGAGGGAAAACTGGCCAATCGGGACAGCGGCATCGACAGCATCAGTTCGCCGTCGCACAGCGAAGAGCTCTGTTTCGCCGGAGTGGACGATGGGGGCGTGGCCTACCCATGTAGCCCCGCCCTCTTGCCCCGCCTCTCAAGCTCCTCCTCTTACGCGGGGGAGGGGGAGGAGGGGGAGGCAAGGGGCGGAGCCAGGAGGAGGCGGGACTTCTCTGAGGAGGGAGACAGCGACCTGGAGGAGGAGGAGGAGGGCGTGCTGACTCTGGTGCTGCCCCCCCCCAAAACAGACAGACAGGACTCTGTGGAGGTGAGACAGGAAGTGAGACCAGACCTTTTGTTCACCAAACAAGTACGTGTTGAGACTACAGATCCACCAAAAAGTGTCCAAAATATAATGTGACATTTCACTCAGAATCAGAATCAGATTCATTCCAATGCAGTTTTACACAAACGGCCCGTCCACACACAGGCATGAAAAAAATCTTTCAAAGCTTCGCCCATTCACTTGAATGGGGTGACATAGAAGATTTTTAATCTTTGCCGAACTGCATTGTGGGGAGCGGAGCATGGCTTTGCAAGCATCGTGAGCATCAAAGGTTGAGCAATGTTCAACTTTTGATGCTCCCGATGCTTTCGAAGCTGGCATCAGCCAATCAATCCCGTTATGCAAATCCCGCCAGTGCAAGCGCTAGCCAATCAAACCGCGTGCAAGCTGGGAGAGCCAGACCGCAGTTCATTTCCTCATATTCCAAACGAGAAATTACGGTAGCAAATCACCCGGTTCTTTACGAACAGAACTATTTACCGAGATACAAACCGGAGGAACCAGGCATGGAGGGAGGTGGCCGAGACAGTGGGTGAAACTGGTAGGTTTCGCCTGTTTGGAGAGTTTATATCCAGTTTACTTCGTTTTAACATTGCTATTGCTTTGTATGTCCGGGGCGGGAGATTCATGTGATTGGTTGTTGGTCGCGTTGCTCGCAAAAAAAACCCAAGCTTTCAGACAAACCCAGCATCAAGATTTTTCAAGATTTTTTTAAAAGCTGCTGTGTGGACGGGCCGTTAGTCTCCAAGAAACTGATATTCAGCTTACTAAAAATTGCCCTGAAGGCCTCAGTATACTTCAAACTTGTTTCCCATGGTGCAACAGAGTCTGAGACCCCGATAGTAA